TATACAGCTGTATATAGCTAGATCTTAGTTTATTTGTTGTTTCAAAGTATTTAAACAGATGCTCTTTATCTACTCTGACTGAGTTTGCAGTACTCTGGAAATGTAGGGGCAAAACTGTTGGTCTTCGCAAGTGTAAAGCCATTAGAAAAAACATGTATCCTCTTCTACCCTTTATATGTTACACAGTGTCAATCTATCACATACAATAGCTAAAAAATACCGTTTGTGTTTGCAACCTAACAAAAATTACAAAAGGTTATAAATACTAATGAAAGGCACTGGTAATATTACATTGCATCTTTTTCAGTAGATGCCTTTTACAGAGTATGTGAATTCAGCCTTTGCCCTTTCTTTGTGAGGTGTTTTATTGGATAGACAAGCTTGTCATCACCTGCACTTCACAATAAATGCACACTCACATAAACTTGACCACGTGTCAATGTTTCATGGCAAGCTTTTATCAACCCAGGCTGAACATTGACCTTATTGAGTGTCTGCAGCTTTTTCCCCCCCCTAGCAACTGTAGTGTTTAAACCTGAGCTTTCCTAATAAACCAAATACGATCTCAGGTCAGAGAGTTAACCTTTGATGCATGAGGCTGGAGTCACATAATGCATGTAGGTAGTTTCTGACAATTTTAGAGAAATGGATGTCGGCATAGGATAAAAAAATGTCAATGTTGGATTAGAAGGCTTTTATTTAAGGGATCTTTGGACCTTTTTGGGGTCAGCAGGATAAGAGATAACAGTAAATAAATCCCAGTTGACATGATTGTCAAATAATCCATTTTGCAAATGCTTTGATATGATGAGCACCAGAGATAAGTTAAAGATTTTGATTGGAAATTGCATTCTGACTTCTCAATCACTACACAGTTGCTATAGAGTCAAATATACCTCCAAACATTGACCTTATTCCTCATCAAGCCCCTTGGCTGTTTGTCACACATTCGTCAGCTAACCTGCCTTTGGCTTTATGCACTGAATTTATAAATCATGTACGTCCCTTTAATGTTAGCGACACACAGCTAAGTGTGTGACTATTTAGGCTTGTGCACTACATGGCATGTATCAAGGCTTTCTCAGCTGAACTCCCTGTACATTTTTCAGTCCCTGCTGACATCTTTGTGTTTGTGATCTGGTGAATCCAGGTCTATCTCCTCAGCTTTAGCCTGGATTAGAGCATGTTTGTTCAAGACCTTGCAGAACAGGCACAGATCTCCACTCCTGTCCATGTTTTAAAGAGATAGATACTTCTTCTTATTATTATTATTCCCCATTTTAGTTCCCATGGAGGAAGTGTTTAGTTTTTTGTAATTACATTAGTTAGAATTCTGACAAATTCCTAAAAGGCATTGAAACATCTAGAATTCGTATTGTGCCTGGTGGCTTTGTAAAGTATGAAAAAAAACATCAATATAAAATAAATACACAATTTATGCAATATCATTAATTTGCAATGAGAGTCATCTGAGCAAGGTTACTAATTTTAACAGTCAAGGTTCTGTTGTTTGATTATTCAGTTTTGTGTTTAGTTTAGTTCATACATCTCCACAGCAGTATTATATTTTCATCTTAACAAATAAATGCTTTCTATTTCAGGCTTTTCTATCCTGTGTTTTATTGAAAAACTTCTAGTTAGATGATTTCCTTTATTTTTGATCTGCCTAATCAAAGGTTTTGTCCAGGTGAAGGTATTTGACTGCCTGATAGAACCATAAAATAAATGCAGACTCTTTGAAAGATAGTAAAACAAAAAAGAAAACGAAAACAGCTGGTTTATTGTGTATCAGTGTCTTTAATAAAAATATTATGGAAAAATCAAATTCAAATTTGTTTTTTTAGTGGTGCCAATGTATAATGAATGTAAAATTACGACGTTTTTATCAAGCAACAGACATACAATGAAATGCACAGAAATACAGTAGAAAGTAAATATAAATGCAGGGTGGTAGAGGGCTTTAAGGAATAAGATCTTGGACACTAGGCCTTTTTTCGAGAAATATGCTTGAAAATAACATGCACAAAATGAATTGAATATATCTCAAGAACTACAGAGTTTATTTTAATTGTTTTGGTATCAAAATAAAGGCAAGACCCCAGAGAATATGTTACAGGTCTAAAAACCATCCTGGGATGAGTGCTGAGGACCCAAACTTGGGTCCTCATCTTATGAAAAGGTTAAAAAAGATAAAGCTTTATGCTCAAAAGTTTGGGTTATGCTTTTGTCCATATCCTTTGGGAATAATACTGGGAAAAGGCTTTACTTCCTTACCCTAATATTTAAAGACTTGAAGCTTTCTAAACATTTCTAAAGGCCTGGAAAAAGATCTGTTTTAATTTGTGTTTTTTTCATTATTTGCATTTTGAAGTTTCAAGTTAGGAAAGGTTGATGGAAACTGCTAAACTTGAAAAGGCTTCCATGATCAACAACTACTCAGATGCCAACGCATTCCTGAAAACTTCTTTTCATTACATGTGAGGTCCATGTTAGTTTGCAACGTCTATAACCTGATTAATACAGCCACGTCTTGCATAAACTTTTGACAATTTTGCTTTGCATAGCCTAATTAAATCAATCCAAACCAGCAGACTGGAAAAGCCTTTCAATTTCTATTTCTTTTTTGTCACATTTTCCGACAAGTTCACTCAAAATTCATATAATTGAATTAAAACATGAGCCTTTAAATGGAACATTGTCATTTGGTCAAACGGTTCAAGGTATTGCCACTAAATACTGCATGTGGGTCTTGAATGTGCTGAATAGCCACCAATAGCTTCTGCTTTGTATGGTGAAGGATATGTGATGCTTTGGTCCTGTTTCTTTCTCCAAAGTATATGTCAGCCATTTAGAGTGCATGTCATCATTAGCTCTTTGGAAAGATTGCTGTAAATTATTGTGCAAAGATCCCTATCCCTGCATAATCCGACCTTGTCAAATCTGTTCTCTCAGTATAATAATAGTGCCGCTGCTTTTGCTCCAAAGACAAGCTGTGTAATTTCCTTTTCTTCAATGTATGTTAAGGTTAGATTATTACATTTTTCTGTAATTTGAGCTGGTTCAAATGCAATTACACCTTAATTCATTTAAACTCTTTATCCAAAAATTGCATTACCAGTGGTGCCAATAACTATGGAAAGAACATTATTAAAGTGCAAGGTACAGTCTATACACACTGAATTGGGCCTGGTTTTAATAATGCTATCGCTATAAAACCAAACGGGTTGAATTGTAGATTTTTAACCACCTTTAAGGCGTTTACTATGAAGCTATTTAAAAAAGATTCAAAGCAAGCAACTGTGTTTATAACTTTTGTTGGACTGCCATGTATAGTAGATCAGACCTGTCTGCACATTAGATTATTACAAGTCTACCGCAAAGGGCGATTTTCTGACTTTTGGGAGGAAGGTATAATAAGTCCTGATTTTTTGAGAGACAAAAAAAAAAAAAAGTGCAGAAAAACAAGAGCAATCATTCATATCTATTCATTTTTTGTGAACTGTCTGGGTTTGGGAGAATTTTCTGGAAGCAATGAATGTTCCCAGGAAATGTCGTGGTCATCTGTATTTTAAAATGGATTTGCACAGATCAGTGGGTTTACCAAATCTATTATCGGAGATTGTAAACCAAATATGTTGAATTTTCTTCCAACTTTTTGCTCTCGCTGTTTACATAACCTGTCATTGAAATAATGGCTGTGCCTCCCGTAATCGTCTGACTGTGCCGAATCCTTCATTCAGAATTTATCCAAATCTCTCTTTATCAACGTTCATTGCAATTGCTCGGCGAGTTCATCCGATAATCCGGTCCATCAGCTATACCTGCTTAATCTTGTCTGGGGTCATGAGAGATAGGAGGATGCTGTATGAGATTTTTACTTGACATTGTGCTCTGACTGACATTTTGTAAATGTCTCCCGTGTATTATAATGCCAACATAAATACATAGAAAACTATACATCCAAATGCTGCTAATTTAGATTTAAACATACAATATAACTTTGAATACTTCAATATATTTTAATATTTATTTTATGTTGAAGTGGACAGAATATGACATTGGAATTAATTGCATACATATTAAAATCTGGAAAAAGCATCCATTTTATCAAGCCCCTTTTACTTGTTTACCCCAAAATAAAACCAGTACCACCAAATAACTTCTAAAGTCACTTTATTAGATTTCACTTAAGAATTCTCATATTTTTTAATCTCAGCATAAATCCTGGTTTTCAAACAAGGCATCAGAGAACATTAGGAAACAAACATCATCATGTAGGCATAAACTGTACAATTTGATTTGCCCTTTTCGGGCCGATTCTCCAGTCGTGCGATAATTCTACGGATCGGGTCGAGGTTCAGCCTCATCATGTATCCTGCGTCATGAAGTATACAGGGGGTAACGAGTGGCGAGCAGCCTCTCACGACCACCTCCTGATCTGGAGTGGTAAGGTGGGGATAAAATAGAACATGTTTGAAATTCATTCGCCCCTCTTAAGGGGTTCTTAGGTAGATCCGGCTGTTGAAGCAAAAGCTACGAGCTGATTTACCAGAACCTTGAGCAAACAAGGGAGTTGTTCTTCCACATTGACGAGTCCGACCAGCACCATCACTCGGTGCTGAGTCCGATGTGTGGTTTTTGGACCTGCAGTGTGAGCAGTTAGATCGCAGCAGAACGTTGGGCCATACAGAACATACATCGTGAGATGTGAACTTTTAAACCCGTCGTACAGTTCTAGTTGTAGCATTAGTACAGTTCGTACACTGCCCTTTATTTGTCTGTATTTTCAGTCTTGAAAAAGTTCATTCATTTGCTCGGCTATGTTACAGCAACAGGTAGGGGAGGGGCGTGTTGCTTACAGAGGGATTCACTTTGACACTTTCTTTGACATCTCAGCTAAAGTTCTTGAAACTGCATCAACTGTCCGATTATTTTTTAAATCCATTATAAAACCATGGTACCTTGATATCTGTAACTGATCAATGTCTAATCAAACAAAAATGTGCATTTTTTCCTTTTGATATGATCCTTCATAACAGAAAGTTTTTTTGATGTTGTCTGTAGAGCATCAGAACTACTTTGGTGTGGATGAGAATCTGGGGCCAGTGGCGGTTAGCGTCCGCAGGGAGAGGCTGGACGACGGAAAGGAGAAAGAAGGAATGCAGTATAACTATCGGATCACCTTCAGAACCAGTCAGGTAAAAATCAACCTTTTTTTCAGCTTATAAAAACTAAACTGCAGCTTGTGGCAGAGGTGGCTGCAGGAATGAAATACATTTTAGTCGCACTTTGCGTTGACTGACAGACGGTAAAATTGAAGAAAATACAAGTATAAAGTTGTGATTTTTCTTGGAGTATTATGACCACAATTTAACTACATTTTCAAAAGACATTTCTCTTTAACATAATACATTTAGGTCAATTAACAGTTTCCCCAAATTGAGGATAAACTCTATAGATCTCTTTATTATTTCATAGTAAGCTTTCAAATAAGCAGTGTAAAGACTAAAACACAGTGTACATTGAAAATCAGATATTGATGAACATTTAGACTACATTTTTATGACAAAATAAAATGTTCAACCAGTTTTTTCACATTCTGAGGTAGAATCACACTGAATTTATCTGTTAGGTCTCTTAGGATTTGACAAAATCACTTATTTCTGATTTGATGGAAAACACCTTAGATGCTGCTTCCATGTGTGAACTTCCGCAAGGTAAAATTTCTGATTCATCCTTTGAGTTACAATATTTAAATTTATGTAATTATCTAATACTCCAACTTAACCTGTTTGACCAGTACAGGTCATGTCTCGTTGAAATGAACGGGTCTTGATGTTAAACTGCTACGAAAAGTCCTGGACCGACATTGGTTGAAAGGAGAGCAGGAAGCCATCACTCCAAAAGCAAATCAAAAAGTACAGTTTGCAAATGCTCACTGATGATCTTTTTATAGTCGTCCTCTGGTCTGATAAAACTGGAGTTGAAGTGCTGTTTTGCTGCAGAAGGGACTGCAGATGTCATGGGGAGTTTTGGCAGGATTCCTGGGTGATGGTTTGAGGGTTTTCCTCTGCCATATAAAATGAAGGCGTGTTGCAGAACTGCTGTGTAGTTTTTAATTCTACCATGAATAGATACAAACGCATAATAATAAAAATTTTAAGAAGTGCTTTTAGTATTGTAAATAAAGTGATCATGTTATAATTGCAGTTTGTCTTTCATCTGTATTGTGATCAAATAAAAGCCTGCATCAAAGCAAGGCCTTGGGCTGATAATAAACTCCAGCCAACCTCTGTTTGAAGGGCAAAATTTAAGCTGGGTGACTGTGTGCCAGAAAAGATCAAGAAAATCAAAAATAAAAAAGAATGTGAAATGAATGAGGAGAGACAGATAAAAGGTAATGAAATGAAGAGAGATCAATCAATATGTAGAATACAATACAGAATTACAGCAAATAAAGAACATTTTTAAAGTGCTGTTGGCCCTCAACCTCCACCCCTCCAAGACCAAAATAGACAAAAGTACTGACAAAGTATATATTTTTTTTTAGGACATTCTCTCCCAGGTTATTTGGGCAATTACTAAAATAAATGCTTAGTCTAATTATATGATGGATCGTAACAAAAATTTATTTTCTACAGTTTATTTAAATATATGTTTGAGCTGTAAAAATGATCTGTTATAAAAGAGCTCATAGGTCTCAGGAAGTGCTATCTTGGCAGGAGTCTGCTAACTAGACACTGCTTACTGATGATTGGGGCTCGCTGAAAAATTAAGGAATGTAGTGACATCCTATGGAACATGCTGCAGAAAGAAACTGGATTTGTTTTACCTGCAACAAAACTAATATATTGTATTCAGAACGTTAAGGTCATTCAGCTCGGGTCAATCGTGCAGCATGAAAAAAATCCACCCTTCTGGAGGGGTCCAACCGTCCTGGTCAGTCATGCAAGCACTGGTGCTGTCAATCAGAGTTTGCTGTGATCATCTTCACTCTCCCGCTCTCTTAAACACACACCCAGGCGTGCACATGCATGCACTCTCTGCGTGATTAATCCAAAAAGTGATATGCACAGCCTGAATGTCCCTGGTGCAACAAGAGCTTTCCTTGATTAATGCTGGTTGGTCTCACTCACTGAATTATTCAAGTGCAACAGATGTGTCAGGCAGGGAAATGTCACCGATATCCTGCACCGTTCTCAGTTTAAATGAAGACGGTCATGATAAAACAATGTATCTGGGTCATGGCAGCCATGAAGGCTGCCTGCAGACAGTGTTTTAACTTCCGAACCACTGCAGCGTCTGTTTGTGTTAATTCCTCTCATTTAGCCCCAATGCCCTCTGTGACTGTCTGCTCTACTGCCTCTCTCACTCTCCCCGTCGCACTAAGTCTGTTAAGTAATCTGCTTTTCAGAAAGCCTCTCTCTCAGATGGCCATTGACTGCTGACACTGATGTCCATAGTCTTTGTAGATGGAAATGGGATTTATGGGTGTAAACGTGTCTTTGATGTTCAAAACAACAACTCAGGCTTATTGACACTGTCATTATCTTTTCTAACCAACACATTATTGGGTTGAAAAGTATAAAATCTCTTAGCATGCATTGCCTGCTTAATTATTTAAAATATGAGTCTTTAATGTGGCTGAGAGGCATCATAATGGAGCAGCCAGGTAGGATAACAGGGCAAATATAAATATAAGTGAAGAGACAACTATAGCATGGAAATGTTGGACTGTGTTTGAAACACTGCAGTTCATCGTACTAAGGTTGATTGTTTATCTTCTCTGCCAGTTGACGACCCTCCGTGGAGCCATCCTAGAGGATGCCATTCCATCCACGGCAAGGCATGGAACGGCGCGCGGCCTGCCTCTGAAGGAAGTTCTGGAATATGTCATCCCAGAGCTTAATATCCAGTGTCTGAGGCTGGCCCTCAACTCTCCCAAAGTCCCAGAACAGCTCCTCAAACTGGATGAGCAAGGGGTGAGTACTTGGATGCCATTTTACAGTCAGGGTCATAAATGCAAACACAGACTCAAAATGGTAACAACACTGAACCAGTCCACAGTAAAAAAGACCAAAATGTTCTGGGAATAGTTTGTGACTTTTGGAAACTATGGACTTTTTCATTTCAGTGGTTATGCTCTAAATATTAGTGCCTTCAAAGTCTAATTTTGACTCAATGTAGAGATATACATTTAGTGATAATCCATCAAAACAAGAGCACAAATATTACACCTCTATAACCTACAATCCTTTTTTAAAATAAGACACTCATAAGAAAATTCACAAAGCTCTACAATTTGCTACACTTCTGCCATTTTAGTATAAACTCTCTTCTGTGTCTTCATGTAATATATACACAGAGGTTTAACGTTGGATGGTGCATCTATACCTCACCCAAAATAGTTTGTATAGAGGGGTTTAAATGAAACTTTTACAATACAAATTCAACATTTTAGATGGTGTTTATTTCTGCAGTTATTAAGGGTTGTGTGGCATTACTAAAACACAAGCATTTTATATATTTCAAGGGTGTCTTTTCCAATATTATTTCCTAATAATAAATACTGTTACTTTACCTCTGGGGTCTTTGTTAAAGCAATCTTTGATAAAGAATATATTTAGCATTCTTCACAAAGCTTCCACACTGAAGAGTGGTGTTACTAGCACCACCAGATAGGGCTTACAAATTGTTATTTATCAGAAAAATTGAAGCACTGTTTGAAATTCCAACCGGCCTCGCACTGGTTTGGGCTAGACAAACTAAAAGGTCCACCGTTACGATCCTTTCCTGATACATCAGTGCATTTTTTGACTTGTCTGGATTTGACCCTAAATGCAGGTAGAGCTTTTAATTTAAATATGGAGAAACTGCATCAACACAGAAAGAGGCAACGTTTTCTGGATAGCTTACCTTAGAATAGGGGCAGAATCTCCCAGCCTAGAATGTATTTTTTCCTCAAATTATTTAAATATTATTCTAAAATGTTAACTACAGCTTGTTTACTCCATGTTGATTTAGGCATGTATGCTTTCATCTAGTAGACACCTTTCTCAAAATGGACTCCACATTCATATTAATAATGCTTTATTAATTGCTGTTTTAATATAATTAGTATATTCAATAAAATCTGACATTTGTTACAGCTATCAGTGATAGAGGTTTGGCATAGGTACCATTGTCTGATAAAGCTGAAAGACTTGCAAAATTAACTTCCTTTTCATTAGCTGACTTTCATCAGAAAAGGCGAATGTGTTGTTTCTTAGGTGGAGGATGGTGTCACCTAGAAGTCTTTCTCTGCAGTCAGAGGTGTCAGGTAGATTCATTGTCTGATCTTAGTGCCTTTCATTTCTCATCTAATGAAACTACAAGATGGCAATGGGAGTGGAAGCATTAGCCATGTTTTATTATCAGGGAATCTGCTACTTATTAGTCTAATTGCATTCATTAGTGCGTGCCCATCATTCTAACTGACAAGGGAAAGGCTCTCATTATAGAAGTGATGACAAAGCCAACCTTTAGATCTTTAGTTGCATGTTTTTTTTGCACATTTTTACAGTGGAAGAATAAAAGCAAATGAAAAGTGGTCAAGTTCAAAGATTAATTCTCTCTAAACTTGTTGATTTACTCTCTATTCTCTGCACATGTTTTATTCTAGAATTCTAACAAGTTTTTTCAGACATCACTATCTAGATATGATCATTTATTTTAATGTAATATATTCAAAATAGGAGAGTGCAAGCTAATTTAGGCCTAAAGCTCTTGAAGCTGACCTTGCTTCTCACATACCTCAACCCTAAAGTCTAAAGAAGTTAAACTTAGTAATATTTTAATTTGCTAGTTTAATCAATTACATCATATTCAGTGCAAATGTATATGATACCATTTCAATCAACTGAACTTGGTCTGCACCTTTAGTTAATTAATGAGAAGATGGTATTGCACAAGAAGAATTCAATAATTGATGTTATCATAAATTTTTTCTGTGTAGTGAAACTAAATGCCTGCAAGAAAAATAACGCTGTTTAATCTGAAATGCCTTTTTATAACGAAAGACATTGCAAATTACCTTAATGCCTTAAAATAAGTACTTAAAAAAAGTAATGGCTTGTTCAGGGTAAGCTAATGCTACGTTCACACCGGACGCAGCTGGCGCAGCAAAATCGCGTCTGCTGCTTCATTTTTGCTGCTTGTACCAGTTAGTTCAACGCGCCCGACGCGCTGCTTCAGCTGCTCAGACGCGCTGCGCCTGCTGCTCAAAACGCATCGTGGGACCTTTTGCTGCGCCTTGACGCGCGTCAATCATTGACTTTGCATGTAAACTCGCTGCTTCTGTCGCACCAGCTGCGTCCCGTGTGAACGCAGCATAACTGTAACATAAATGTAATGTGCAGGTTTCTGCAGCAGGAATCCAGAGATAACAAGAAAGCCTCACAAGTTTATAAACTGGTATGCAGTTCCACTGTTAGGTGTAATTTGACTTTAAATCTGATTTGTTGTACCAGTTGAAGAAAGCACTCTACCACCTCTTAGGGTTGTTGTTGTAAGGCTCTGTTTGTTTCTTTACTATGGAAACTAACCTATTTTATCATTGAACACAATGTTTTCTTTTCTGATATTGCTATGAACTGAACAAACTTGAAAACCATCTATCTTCCTTTTTCAATTAAACATAATATGAGTCACATAGCAACAGATGCAAAGTTATACCCAGTTTCAACACTCGGGAACAAACGATATTCTATTCTTTTATACTATCAAAAATATAATCTGAGCCTTTCTTTTGTAACAATTACAACAATTGTTTTCTCTGTCTTTCTTCAAATAAATATATTCCCATTTTGGTGTTAAATCAGATCATCAAGCATGTGATCTGCTATTGGGTGCTAATAGTTATAATATTATTGTTATGTTTTTTCAATTTTTCTGTAAATGCTCATTCAATCTTTTTCTATATCTTAGGATATTTGCATTCTCTAATGCATTTCTTCAGCTCCTCCAACCACTCCTTAGCCATTTAGCTTCATGGGAGGGTTGATGCATTGTCAGTTATAATCTGGTGTGCAGAGTTTTTGACAGTGCTTTACTACGAGGTATGCGCCAAAGTTCATCTGTAGGATCAGACCACACAGGACAGCCAGTCTTTTCCTCTGTAGCCCAGTTAGATGCTGTCTATCCTTTTCATTACTTTGACCTCTTCTGATCCATACACACCCCTGCAGAACATCTCGCTTTTCTCAGTTACTAAGTGGTAAATTTTCATTTCTAAAGGAGGCAACAGAAATGATAAGTGTGTTTAAGGATACCCAATGGGAAATGCTATTTATTCCATCTTTAAGTTTTAATCAAAGCATAACCTTATCATTATATGTTGCCTCATAAAGAGTGAATGCTTTAAATACATTTAAAAAAGTACGCTGTTAGTAGGAATATATCAGTTCCTCCAAAATCTTCTGTTTTTCCACTCCTTGTCTAGATCAGAAGCTGGTTCCTAAACCCTTTAGAAACCTTTCAGTTTTACGCATAGAGACAACTCCTCTGTTAATGTGCCTAAAAAGTTCACTGATGCCATAGGATGCTGATAAGCTCTTCAGGAAGATTTTAATATTTAGTTATTCAAGATGGAAGAGATGAGCAAGCAATGTAAAACACTGCTTTGGTCGAGGTGATTGCCTTGTGTGTTGAGTTAAAAAATGGTTTAGGAATATCAGCAACCAGGTCATTAGTCTTTTAAATTTTTGTTTTTTTGACAGATGCTCTGTTTCTATAGGTTTTATCATGGAAATGTTTTGTGAAAAAAAGCTTTAGTGTTTACTTCTCAGATTGCATGTTACTTTATAATACATGTAACAGATTAAGAATCTTTATTACCATAGGGTTAGATGTGCAGTGGAGTTGCAAAGGAGGAATAGAGCCTCAGGGCACTCTTTGTTTGTCTAATTTTTACAAGGGTCTAGCCATCCCTGAAGGTTATATCTTTGGCTTGCCTCTGGTGGCAAGGCTTTTTGGAGTTACTGTTCCATGTTTTTTTGCATCATAAGTAGATTGCAGTGAAAGCAGATGTCGCATTAGCGTTGCATGTTGTGCCAGGGCAAAGCTGTATCCCTCAGGTGCCTCATGGCTCTCTCCTGGGACAATGTTGCCCTCATTTTTCCATGCACTCAATAGGCATGCCGTTTTTTGGATTTGTAAGCTTTAAAACCTCCACTAAGATGATTTTGTAGATGGCTTAATATGCTTAAGAAAATTTGAACGATAATAGGATGTGGGAAAGAAATATATTTATTCCTATAATATTGCTATGTTTAAATGTCCTCAACTCACCTCCTCATAAAAAGCTCTTCTGTTATGAAAAACCTATCTACAATTTTCTTTAAGAATAATTCTCTTATTTTTGATATTTTGTCATAATGCATCAATATTGTGAAAAGATTAGTTTTCCTGGGCTTTAAATGCAAACATCAACCAAAAAGAAGTGCAATTGTAAAGTGGAAATAAAATCATATAAACATCAATCATTTAAATTCTGATTGTTGTTTACATTTGCATTAAATTCTATTTATGAAATCCCTCTAAATAAAGGTTCTAAACAAATTCTTACTCTTCTAAAATCTTTTAACATGAAATCTTATGTACATATATATCTCTTATTCCACATCATACTGAAAACAATATTTTCGAGCCAATGACTTATCGGGGGAAAAAAAGCTTGGAGCCTCCTTATGAGTCTGCTTTTGAATATTTTATCCAACTTGGCTAAATACAACAAACCTTTTTTTTTTAAGAAAAGTGGCTGAAATCCTGCTTTAGATATTAGGAATTGAATATCTTTGCTCGTTATTTATTTATTTATTTATTTTTAGCACAACATAATTTGTAAATTGGATGCTTTAGTTGCAAGACTGCCAAATCCTTTTTAAGTTTTGGATGTAAATCTATTTATACAGCCCTT